CCCCTCAGATGTGGTAACTGAGATATGTGTTCTCCAGTGTTCCCCAGAAGGATTACGAATGGGAAAACCTGGTACTTGTGCAATTTGAAACAACCATCCCCCAGAAATTTGATTCGTAATCATGACACCTCATGTAACAGTGAAGATTTGGACTGATCATGGCTCTAGATGTTAATGTTCTCCAACTCAGGCTGAAAAATGGCTGCAAAGTCAGACACTGAGAATTGAAATTGTCTGTATCCACATGGATTACTATCAACATTAAATATCTACATGGATTACTGTCAACATTAACATAATTTTATTATTTCATTGTCATCTTCAACATTACTACTATTCCAGGAACATTTGACCAGGAACAGAAAAATTGCAACTTTTCATTTCAGAAACTTCTCAAAGTCTCATTTAAATGAACAAAAACCTAGTCAACTTTTCAATAGATGACTTAATTTTACTTATTTATTTGGCTGCATCACGCGGCTTGCAGGATCTTAGTTCCCCAACTAACCAGGGATCGTACCCCGAGCCTCCCGCAGTGGGAGACCAGAGTCCTAACCAATGGACTGCCAGGGAATTCCCTATTTATTTTTATTGAGGTGTAGTTGATTTACATTGTTGTGTAGTTTCTCCTGCACAGCAAAGTGATTCAGTTATATATATATACATATATATATTCTTTTTCATATTCTTTTCCATTATGGTTTATTGTGTGACATTGAATATAGCTCCCTGTGCTATATAGTAGGACCTTGTTGTTTATCCATTCTATAGACAACAGTTTGCATCTGCTAACCTCAAACTCCCAACCCATACCTTCCCCATTCAACAGATGACTTTAAATGACAGTTTACACTGTGTGGTGGGCAGAATAATGGCCCCTCAAATGTGTTTACGTACTAATCCCTGGAACCTTTGAATATGCTATGTTACATGCAAAATGGAATTAAGGTGGCAGATGGAATTAAGGTTACTAATTCAGCTGACCTTAATATAGAGAGATTATCCTAAATTATTTGAGTTGGTCCGCAGTAATCACAAGGGCTCTCAAAAGCAGAAGAGGGAGGCAGAACAGAAGGTCAGAGGATGTGATTTAAGAAGGAGTCAACCAGCCCTTGCTGACTGTGAAGATGGATGAAGGGGTCACAAGCCGAGGAATGTGGGCAGCCTCTAGAAGATGGAAAAGAGGCTCTGGAAAAGAGCCTCTGGAAAGGAGCAGTCTTGCCAACACTCTGATCTTAACACAGGGAGACCTGTGTCAGACTTCTGATTTATAAAATTGTAAGATGATAAATTTGTGTTATTTTAGGCCTCTAAGTTTGTGGTAATTTGTTAAAGCGGCAATAAAAACTAACACACTCTCAAGACTCTTTAAAACCTTTACCTTGCTGTGTGTTCTAATCCTAACCTATTACACCATGATTCTTATCCAATCCTAATCAAGCCCCCTAAACTGAAAAACCCCCTTAGACCAGACCCCAAAACCTTATAAGTGTTCCAATTTCCCCTTGGAAATGCTACTGAAAACATTAAGGCACCAGTCTCTTTTATCAGTAAGTAATAAACTCAGCTTTGCCTTATCAACACACCATTTTGGTGCTGGTTTTTTTTTGGTGCCAGCATTTGACCATCGTTTTATCCATATGCCTAGAACAGTACCTGCTATATAGTAGATGTTTAATAAACATTTGATACATAATGAATAAATTATCTGAGTTTCTAAAATAACATAGAATAATATTTATGTAGATATATTTATGACTTAGTAATTCCTATGTCTAGAAGTGACTTTCAGAAAATCATTTTAAAGACTGAGTGAAACCTTGTACATGGATGTTTATATGTTTTATTCATAATCATTAAAAACTGGAAGCAACCCAAATGTCCTTCAACTGATGAATTGCCTAAACAAGCTATGTTATAGTAATAGAATACTACTCAGCAATAAGAAGGGATAAATTACTGAGACACGCAACAACGATAGATGGATCTCAAAGGCATTATGCTAAGTGAATAAAGGCAGACTTAAAAGGCTATATACTGTATGATTCTATTCATGTGATATTCTGGAAAAGGTAAAAGTATAGGGACAGAAAGCACATCAGTGGTTGCCAGGAACTGGGGTTGAGGTGAGGCATTCATTACAGAGGAGCAAGAGTGAATGTTTGGGGGTAAAGGAAATGTTCTATATCTTGATTGGGGTGGTGGTCACATAGCTGTATGCATTTGTCAGAACTCATAGAACCATACATTGAAAAGGATAAATTTTACTGTATGTAAATTTTATTATTTTTTAATTTTTTATTGAACTATAGTGCATTTACAATGTTGTCTTAGTTTCTGGTGTACAGCAAAGTGACTCAGTTATATATATATAATCTGTATGTAAATTATACCTTCACAAAAATCTGACTTAAAAACACCCCAGTACTCTACTGAGAATTGCTGCTGTAACAATATATACGGAATACTTTGTTCAAATATTGCCTGTTAATAAAAGTCATATTTTTCTTTGAGATTATTTTCTCTTAAAGTTCTATGGTTTGTATTTTCTGATATTACACCAAACTGTGCAGTTGACTTACATTGTTCTAGAACATGAAGTTAGAGAAAGAAAATTCACTTTGTTAAAATGGATGCATCTGATTAAATAAAATGACAGTATTAAAATGTTACGAGTTGAGAAATATATAATTAGGAATTTTTTCTCTCATTGCTAAAAGGGAAGGAAATTCCTATTTGCAGAATAATTCCAAAGGAAAGTCTATTTTTTCCAACCCAGCCCCCCTTTTGTTTGTTTTTTGTTTTTTTTTTTGGCTGCTTTGGGTCTTCGTTGCTGCACACAGGCACTCAGTAGTTGCAGTGTGTGGGCTTCTCAACGCGATGGCTTCTAGTTGTGGAGCACAGGCTCTAGGCACACGGGCTTTAGTAGTTGTGGCTCGTGGGCTCTAGAGCGCAGGCTCAGGAGTTGTAGCGCACAGGCTTATTTGCTCAGCATGTGGGATTTTCCCAGACCCGGGATCGAACCCGTGTCCCCTGCACTGGCAGGCGGATTTTTAACCACTGTGCCACCAGGGAAGTCCCCTCTTTTGGTTTTTAAGTAAGGTCTCATTTATATTGAAAAATTATCGTGATAATTTATGGAACAAAAAGCATATTATCTTTTGGTTAGCCAAGTAACATTTACACCAAAATAGGTAAAGGAATATTCTCGTAAAGTTTACGACATATCTTCAGTGTTTTAATACTTTTTTAATTGTGTAAAATGATAATCTTTCTTGTTGTCAGTCTCCATCTTCCCTCCCTTCCTATACAGGCTTGTAAATCTTCCAAGGCAGAATACAAAAGAAAACACGTGAAATTGGCACTACATCTATGGAGGACAATTTGGCAATCTCTATCCAAACTGAAAATACCTTTTGATTTAAAGATTGTGGTTTAATGAGTTATTGGTATACTTATCCATTTTATGAGACTATTAGTTGCGGCTTAGTTTGTAATTTAGTAATGGCTTGGCAACAACCTAAATGTCCACCGGTAGGAGATTGGTTAAAATAGATATTTGCATACAATGGAATATTATACTGCCCCTAGGAAGAATGAGACAGTTCTTTACACAGTGATATGGAAAGATATCCAGGATATTTTAAGTGAAAAAGGAAGGAACTTAACAGTGTATATAGTACGTTATCTTTTGCATAAAAGAGGTACATATAAGTGTATTTTAATATATATTTACAACATATCTTGGGAAGGCTACATTAGAAAATGCTAAGTGATTGCCTCCAGAACTGGAGTAGCTGAAGGGCAGGGATGGGACTGCCAATTATTTTTCACTATATTTTGTCACAGTTCATTTTGAGTTTTGCATGAAATCATTTCCTAATTTACATAGATAGATAAAAATCTATATAAAGAGTTTAGCTTGAAAGAATATGTGGTCACTTCAGAATTTTAAAAAGAAAAATATTATACTACTATTGCTGCTGATGAATTACCAGCTTTTAGGGCTAATAAAAACATTTTCATATGCACACTCTATAGTTTATCATAAAGCTCCTCAAAATCCTTGAATTTTATTTTTAAAAATCTTTAAAATGCTTGCTTCAAAATTAGTAGAGTGAAAAAAACACCTTCATGAGGCTCCTTCATGGAAAGAAAACAGATAAGAAGCAGGAAATTATAAAGTGTTTTCCAAAATAATGAACCCAAAGTAGTTTCTCTGGACAGTTACCGTACTGGGTTCTATGAGACCCTTTGAAAATCCTGTCTAATCTATAACTATGGCTTTACTCTCAATTAAATTATAGTTTGCCCTGACTGGCAGGATGTTAAGAAGTGAAGAAAAGTGTTCGGAATGATATCTTGAAAAAAAGTATGAACAGTAGAAGATATTTAGATGACCAAGAAAAAGGGCTGGCTTGGCTTCGTCTGAGAAGTTCAAGCGAGGTTCTAGGCGGCCTCCTGCAGAGAAATTCCCAGCGGACTTCCTTTTCCGGCCGGACCTGTGGATGGGCGGCCGCACTGATTCCGTGCTTCGACTGCAGCACCGCACCGTGACGGGCCTGCGGGCTTCGACCACACCCTCAGGAGGGGCGGACTCCCTGACCTCCTGAGCCCCAGAACCAGTAGATCCGGCTCCACCCGGCCCCGCCCTTCTGAACCTCGCTAGCGGCTACGCGCTGAAGAGTGTGCGCGCGTGAAGCGTGCGCGCGCGAAGTGTGGAGGCCAGATCCTGCTGGTCTTGTTCTGTCAGACGGGGCCGCCAGGCTCAAGGGTTCGGACCTAGGCCACCTGGGCCAGTACCCGGCCAGCCCGGCGTCGTCTGACCCGACCGCCGCGCACGTCACCACCTCCAGCGTCACCTCCCGGCGCTGTAGAATCCGCAGCCCTCCGCTTTTCTGGCGGGGAGGGGCGCGGCGTTGCCACGTGACGCCTCGTCCCCGCCCGGCCCTGGTCACATGGGTGGCGCGGCCGCTGCGTCAGTCACTGTCCTGGTTGCGGGAGTAGAGCGCCGTCGCTGCCGCCGCCAGCGAACGGGGCGGGGGATCCCGGTGCCAGGTCCTCGTCAGCCCGCCCCTGCCTCCTCAGCCAGCCGTCCCGGTCTGGGCTCGACAGTCATGGAGCGGGGCGGAACCTCCGCCTGTGCTGTGTGAGGTTCTTCGCCACCGCCGCCGCCTTCGCTTTTCGAGACCTGCCGAACCCCCGCCGCCTCCCGGAGCTCCTCGCCCTTGGCAGTTTGTCGCCGCCCCCCGAGTGGGTTCGAATGCGCGTCCGGTGAAGGTGCAGGCCCGGCGCCGCCTCTGCCGCAGCCGGGAAATGGTTCGGGCCTAGCGGAGCCGGGACTGGAGGTGAGAAGAGCAGACAGACGGACTGAGGGCCGGGCCCGGCCGCGGGGAGGGGCTGGGGGGAGGGGAGGACAGGGTCCGTTTGGGGGCCCGGAGAGACCTTCGGGCTAGGGCTGCTCGAGACGGCTTCCCTCGTCTTCGCGTTCCACCCCCGACCCTCAAAAATACAAATTAATTAAAAAGGCTAACCCAGTCTTAACAAAAATTCCCAGAAATCAGTCTTTTCACTGTTTCTCCTTTCTCCTTTCGTCCATTAATCCATTCCTTCCCTCAGAAATTCCGACTGATCTGTTACTTTTTAATACCCTTTTCAATTTCAAGTTATTTCTAGTTAAAGAGAAAATAGGCCTAGGTTCTGGCTATCATTACCCAACTAGTTCTCGCTTTCCTTCTCGCGATCCTGCGTACGTCCTCCTCCACCACCTCCTCCTCCTCCTCCCCCTCCCCCTCCTCCTCCGCGCTTTCTCGCTCCTCCTTGTCGGAGGCTGAGGATGAGGGCGAGGTTGTCGAGGACCCCGAGGACGAGGACGCCGACGACGATGAGGACACCGACAGCGACTCCTTCTCGTCCAAAAAAAAAGGGAAAAAAATGTCCGCCTTCGACTGGCGAAGGGGGTTGACTAAAATGGGAATGTGGGGGTGTAATACTTGAATACCCCCCCATAACTTCTGAATCGGTTAGCTGGTTACCCCGATAGCTTGCATTTGGATATTGATGTGTAGGCCTTTCCTCCAGCTGCCTGTGCCCGGGGTTAATCTCGTAATTGACGTCAGTGCTTTGTTCCTTCCACTTTGCTGTTCCTTCCACTCTTTGAGGATGGATAATGGGATATAGGAGTCTGAGTTGTATCCTTATTGCCTTTTCTTTCACAAACGGTATCATTTGTAGGAATGATACAAAGGTGCAAATTTGTACAGAGATACAAATCTGAAATGCTTTTGTATGGAGTTCAAACTAAGACGAAGAGTTCGATTTAGGGTTCTCATAGTCACTTGCAATTAAGAATTGTGCGATTTTTCAGCTGGCCTGTTGGAGATATTAAACTAAGGCCAGTTCCTTTTCCAGTTACCACTGTTTTTCCTTACAGAATCTAAGCGATAGTTCCTTGTGAATAGGATGTTTGTAAATGTGACGTTTAAAATGTCTTGTTTTTGAGGGTTCAGATGTTAAAAGCGCAGAGCTTTGTTTCCATATTGATTCTGCAAAGCTTTGTAAAGTGCTCCTTTTATTTAACTGTCCTTTAACTTATCAAAATTGAAATATGAGAACTTTCTTAATTTGACATTTAATAAAGAGCCTCTGTGGCCTGTGAATCTTGCCTAGAATCATCTTTGGTTTTACGTGCATGAAGAAGTGTTGGCAAGTGGCCATCTGGTTTTTAACAAAGCTGGCTTCTTTAAATTGCTCAGGTTTATTTTACTTATTCATCAATGCCTCCTTCAGTCTGCAAACATTAAAAAAAAAATCTTAAGAAGTTATTTTAAATTATCTTTTAGCGTTAACTCTGAGGCAATAAAAAAAAATTTTTTTTTTTTTAACACCAGCATTTTCATTCAGTTTGTGGTGGCTTGCAGGCTGACGGCTTTGGTTTTTGTTAGCTCTAATGGAACAGTAGGCAGATTTTGCTTTAAATAAAATTCTGTGTCAAGTGGAGGCGAGATAGGATGTTTGTGAGTGACCAAACTTTTACTGTTTGATTTAAAAAAAAAAAGAGCTTATCTGTGATTATTGGAAAATGGTCTACAATTTTGAGGTGTAAAGGTGATTCTACAGTGCTTTGAAGCTGTGTAATTAAGCATTCTTAAAGAAGCATATTTTCATTCAGATTCAGTTTCTACTTGTCAGATGATGTACATCCCCTTCTCTGTGCTCTTGAGATACTGTACCCCCTTTGTGACAGTTGATGCATTCTGCTTTGTACTGTAATTTTTTTATAGATCTGTCATATCTTTAGAGCAAGAACTATATTTATACCTCTTTGTGTCCTCCCCAGTATTTTATACAATTACTAGGTTGAATTTGAATGTGATATCCAACCCAAGATTTCACAAAAGGGTACTCTTTAAAAAAAAAAAGCTGTATGAGCAAGTGATCAGTATTTATTTGTAGGGGGAAAAGTAGCTATCAGCTACAGAAGATGACAGAAGGTGAAGCCTTCTAAAATTATGTATCTTACTTTTTTAAGAGTTAAGGTAAATGTCATGGTTTTATGTGTACCTGAGAGGAACAAAGAAAACAGGTATTTCTTCTTTTGTGGCCACCTACTGGTTTAGAATGGAGTCCAAAATGTATGAGGCCTTCTCTTCATAGTATTTTTCATAAAAATCAAAGAGGTAGTCTTTTTATAAATATAAATTTATTTATTTATTTATTTATGTATGTATGTCTGTGTTGGGTCTTCATTGCTGTGCGCGGATTTTCTCTAGTTGCTGCTAGCGGTGGCTACCCTTTGTTGCGGTACCAGGCTTCTCATTGCCGTGGCTTCTCTTGTAGCTCTAGGCGCGCAGGTTTCAGTAGTTGTGGCACACGGGCTAAATAGCTGTGGCTCGCAGGCTCTAGAGTGCAGGCTCAGTAGTTGTGGCACATGGTCTTAGTTGCTCCACAGCATGTGGGATCTTCCTGGGCCAGGGCTTGAACCCGTGTCCCCTGCATTGGCACGCAGATTCTTAACCACTGCGCCACCAGGGAAGTCCCCAAAGAGGTAGTCTTAAATATCGAAGGCACACCTGGACAGTGACCCAGAAGTGCAGTGTGTATTATAAAAATTGATAACTTAGATTTGATTTTATTTTACTATTTTTTTATTTTTTATTGAAGGATAGTTGATTTACTGTGTTGTGTTAATTTCTGCTGTATAACAAAGTGACTCAGTTATATACATATATGCATTCTTTTTTATATTCTTTTCCATTATGGTTTATCCCAGGGTATTGAATATAGTTCCCTGTGCTATGCAGTGTGACCTTGTTGTTTATCCATTCTGTATGTAATAGTTTGCATCTACTAACCCCAAACTCCCAGTCCATCCCCTGCCCCCATGTCTGTTCTCTCTGTCTTTTGAGTCTCTTTCTGTTTTGTAGATAGGTTCATTTGTGCCATATTTTAGATTCCATATATAAGTGATATCATACGGTATTTGTCTTTCTCCTTCTGACTTACCTTACTTAGAATGACAATCTCTAGTTGCATCCATGTTGCTGCAAATGGCATTATTTTGTTCTTTTTTATGGCTGAGTAGTATTCCATTGTATATATGTACCACATCTTTATCCATTCATCTGTCAATGGACATTTAGGTTGTTTCCATGTCTTGGCTATGTTCATAGTGCTGCTATGAACATAGGGGTGCATGTATCTTTTTGGATTATAGTTTTGTCCGGATATATGCCTAAGAGTGGGATTGCTGGATCATATGGTAGATTTTATTTTTTATTTCAGCTCTCTTCTACAGATAACTTACTATAAAAACTTTCCTGTATAATGTAAAGGATTTCCAGCTTTTGAACCCCCAGTCTTCATTATGGTTTTCCCATTTCCTTTTTTATTTTCTCTGAAAAGTTGGAACAATTATATTGATTTCTGGGAGGGTGTTTGCCAGTCTCAGTTAATTGTGAAATAAGGTGTAGTCAGTGACTAAAAATTGCTTAAAGCTAACCTGACCTGTTACCTTGCTACTTTTCCCTTTGGTTTAAGGAGAGCACCCCTACTTGCAGTAACTCCCCACACCCAGAGATTGACATGAATAGGTTGCTCTGGAAAGCCAGTATGGTTTGGCTACCCAGATACTGTCGAGATCTGTCCTGGGACTGGGCTTCCTCGGTCTGCTTTGGGCCTGAATGGGTCTCCCATGATTTTGTCAACTTGGAGCTGCCTAGTGGGTTATGACGTTTCACTTTGACTTTTCCTTTTCTTGTCATCACTAGGGTAGGGGACAGTTTTATGGAAAGGTGAGTAGAGTCAATACTCTTCATAGATAGGCCTTCCCACCTCTTTCCAATTGCTATCATTTCTTCCATCTGGAATATCACTTTTCCTGTCTTGTTCCTTGTCTCTTAACATTTCATCATATTTTAAGGCACAGTGCAAATACCATTGCCTTAAGTTTTGCTTGATTCCCTACCCCAATAGTGACTTACCTCCTTTGAATCCCTGTATTGCTTTGTATCTCTCTTAATGTTTGTTATGCAGCTAACTATGGGACTATAGCAGGCTGGATGACTTTGAGCACAATCAGTGAAGACTCACTAGTAGAATAAAGACTGTGTTATACTATTTTATTGTATATCTCTAAGAATTAAAATAATAATCCAATTTAAGATTTTACTAAAAAAATTAACACTAATTCCTTAATATCATCACATATTCTAGTCGGTGTTCAGATTTCCCCGATTACAGTTTTTGTTTTGTTTTAACAGTTTGTCTGAATTAGGATCCAAATAAGGTTCATACATTTTATTGTGTTGATGTGTGTCTCAACCCTCTTTTCTTTCTGTCTTTTTGTTCTTGTTCTTATACAGTTGGTTTGTTCAAGAAACCAAGCCTTTGCCCTATGAGATTTCTCACAGTCTGGATTTTGCTGATTGCATCCCTGTGGTTTCATGTAATATGTTCTTCTGTCCACAATTTTTCCTATAAATTGGTAATTACATCTAGAAGCTTGCTCCAATTCAGGCTTGAATGTTTTTTTTTCAATGGGAAGAGTACTTCATAGGTAGAGTTGTGTACTTCCTATGTATTCTTAAACCCTCAATCTGGCTTCTCATCCTAGCATGCCAGTGAAATTGCTCTTATCAGGGCCACCTGTGACTTGTACATTGACAAATTGTATAACCATTGCTTACTCCTTTACCTCTTTCTATACTTGACATTGTTAACCATTGTCTCCTTGATAGTTTTTTTTTTTCCTTGACTTTTATGACTGTCCCTTTCCTGCCTTTCTTACTACTAGCTGCTTCTTTGCAGACTCTTAATTCTCTGCCAATCATATTGACATTTATGAATT